GGTAAAGGAGTCACATATGAACGTGCTAGTCAGAGCTATAGTTTGATGGGAAATCCTCAATTGTCATGCCACGACGGTAAATGGGATTCAGCTCCTCCAGGTTGGAAACGTGAGTACATTATTCTACAATGGTATAAATTTAGCAGTTTTTTATTTTTCCAGATGATAATTAAAGATTTTTTACCCTTTACACAATTGCGCTATTTCCGTGATTGTATCAGCTACAAAACCGACAACCCACCATGTACTATACAGTGTATTTGAATTAATAATCAAATAATGAACAATTGGATCTAATGCAAATACATAGAGTCCTAGCTTTAGCCTACAAACTTAACCATTTTTACGTTCTTGTCCACTGTAAGCCAGAGGCACGTGATACTCAATTGTCTTACTCCTATTTTCCTTAAAAGTTACGTTGTATCATAATCCTTTACTTAAATTTGACATAATTACTACGTCTTTTGATTGTAACAAAAAGGAGGCCTCAGTGCATGACTATGTTCTGAATTAATTTTTTACGAATCGTTTTGCCCATCATACAGCGCCTTGTGCTCCACTGCTATCGTTCATACTGAATGGCAAAATCCACAACAGTAGTGTCAGTCATGAAGCCGTGGTCTCCATCTCCTGTAATTCAGGATTCCAACTCCATGGGCCCCAGCAGATCAAGTGCCTCGATGGAAAATGGAAGGGAAGTACGCCGAGTTGCAAAGGTTCAGTAAATCTCTTTTCTCTATATCACTATTATCATTACGATTATCGTCACGGTCATAAACATCATCATCATAAGCAGTGTCATCACTATTGATACAATTGTAATTATTTATCAACGTTTTCTTTCAAATTCACTCGACACTTTTAACGATGGTGATTGTTGTCAATAAGGGCATAATCAATTTCCTTAACTCGGCGTTATCAATAATATAAAAGCTTTAAGTTTAATAGATGCTCCCTTAACAATCACGCAGAGATAGGTCAGTATCGCTGAACTACAATTTCCATCAATTATTTGTGTCATCCAATAATTTGTCCCGGTTATGTTTAATTTGCTAGCTTCAGTCGAACGAATACCTCAAGACTTGGTTCTCTTCCTTCTCGACCATTATTTTCTGGTCACTGCTTTTCAGTTATTGTTCTTTGTCTATCATGGTCTAAGCCATATTCATTCATTTGCTTGTTTGGTTCTGTATTTCTTTATTTATTTATATTCGTATTTTGTCTTTAAGGCGTCGGTAACAAGCCAGGAAGGCTCATTAACCGAAAAGTTATTGGAAGAAATTACTGCTACGGTTCTGAGATCAAGTATGAATGCGATGACGGCTACGTGTTACGAGGTTCACCCGTTTCAACCTGCAGAAACGGTGCATGGCAAGGTCAATTTTACAGAGTGCGAGGGTGAGTTTATAGGTTCAGCAAATAATCATGTTAATATTGACATTTCAGTACTACCACTACCACCCAGTTGAACCATAATTTAGGTAGTACCGACCATTTTCTTTCAGTAAAGCGAAAGAAAATTTATCCAATTTATTGGAGAAATTTTTTTCTAAAACTGTCAGGTTAAATTATCTGAGATTTGTATGGAGTGTTTACGCAAGCTCGCTAACATCCATTATTTTTCTAAACTGAATTTTTTGGCTCGCGCGAC